GGATAGAAGGAAGGAGGGTTATCTAAGAGAACACCATTATACAAGTATTTTTAGTTGCGGGGGACAAAATGTGAAGGCGCAGGCAGTAGGACTCAAAATTAAAAATGGAGTAAATGGTAATTATGTATACTTATAAGCTGACTAACGGCTAGAGAAAGATGTGTGCGAGGGAGAATAGAAATGACCTTGTAGAACACTAAAAATTATTTTCAATTTGGGTCGAAAGAGTTACAGACGAATGATGAGGATACCGTAGATAGAGAAGGTTAGAAATGAAGAGATATTAGAAAGAATAGGAGAACAGACGACTCAATGGAAAGCAATAAGAAATAGGCGAGGTAGGTTAATAGGACACCCTACCAGGCATGAAGGTCCAGTCAGAGACATATTAGAGGCAGAAACGGGAGTTAGGAGGGGTAGAGGTAGACCTAGATTAGATTACTGTTCGTAAATGGTTAGGGATGTGGGATGTTATAGCTTTATGGAAATGCGAAGATTAGCTCAGGATGGTAAAAAGTGGAGGAGCGCGTCCAACCAGTCTTAGGACTGACGACCATATGGTGATGAGGTAGAAAAATAGAGGCGCGGGGGATGGAATTGGTGAATGAAAGGTCAATTGGTAGAGGATGAAACCGTCGTCTAGTCTGTAGGAGGGTTAGTATCCTTAGTGTTCTACTAGGTCACCCTCGTTCTTCCTACCCCTTTGCTCCCTTATATTAGCGAGAGACCTTCATCTAGACATTTACCGAAATAAATTTCATTTCTTTCCCTGGGTGCTCAGTTAACAGTCGAGTCACTGTTTTCGTAATGCACAATATGAATACAATAAAATCTACCTCTCGCGCCTCTGGTGGCTCATGATATTTTGAAAAACCTATAGCAAACTTTTTCCCTTCTATGGATTGGTACCCATCACATTGAGTTGCAATATTGTTTCCCTAATATTTCGATTTTATTCTAATTTTTTATCGACTTCTTTTACATTTCTTTTAGCGGTAGGGACTGTAAGTCGTAGAAAAATTAAGTATGAATTTAACCTTTCTTAAAGTATAGATTTCTATTCAAAATCTAACGTGTACCAGTTCCAGAGATTATTTTANATTTTTTCAAAAAAATGACGACGTTTGTTAAAACTGGAATAGATAATAATGAGGTCAAATTATACTTTCTACTTTAACTAAGTATTTAATATATTCCTACTTGAAAGTTTCTGGCACATTAGAATAATATTAGAGTAAACGAAAGATTAGTAAAACAAGTCTATAATTTGTACTTTTCCGAAACCATAAAAAACGCTTTACACTCTTCAAATTGTTTTCGCCAGTCCTTTCATCAAAGCAGAATAAAAATGTGAATTTCTAGCTTTCCAAAGGGTAGAATTTTTTACGACTAAAGAAAATTACAGCGCGTTTTTCAGGTGCTTCTTTGTTTTTCTTTTTGTACACATAACGTAGTATATAAATAGGGCTAAAAGATGAAAAAGTCGGTTTACCACATTCACAGATACGACACGTACCCTTGAGTTACAAAAGTTTTATGGAGGGAATAATAATTATTACTTCAGCACCCGGTGCCTTAAACTAACGTTAAATATTTGAGCTATTAGATATTCAACAAGGGTGAATTATTCACCTCAATTTGGTGCCTCAGGGTTAGGCCTAACTAAATATGTTTATTAATTGAATGTGGTTCTAACAAATCCAATTTTATTAAATTAGTAGTTCTAACATTGCGATTGTTTCGTCTGTTTTAGGCTGCTTCAGTAATTATATTGTGAAAATTAATTTCCACTAAGTAAACGTACAATCAATTATAATGAATTTATTTTATTTTTGACGTGACAACGTCTTATAATTCGATGGAGCCGGCTGCACGCACGAAAAAACATGACTCATGCGTCGTTACCTCGCTCTGAGGCGTTCCATTTAAGGCTTGACGTGCAAGCGAGAGCGCGGAACGAGCGACAAAGAGGCACAATCGGCTTCCGCGTTCGGCAGCGTTCGACATCTGTCTCTCTCCTACTTGAATGAGCGATGCGTCCGCGTGGACAGCTGCTATACAATAATACATTCACATGTTTTCGTCAAGTATGAAGTGCAGTGAAAAGTGAATGTGGTGTCAAACCATTCCATCAGTATTCTCTTATGACGTTGTCGCGTTCAACTATCGTCAGTGAACCGACTTTACTGACAACCGATTTTTTTAATTTCATTGCGTAATGAATTAAAATTATCACTACAGCTATGTAAATTTGTGATCAGATCTGCTTGTCTTTGTTTTCGAGATATTTTTTGTTTTTTATTCTATCTTTAAAGCTCCTGATTGTTTGACCTATGTAGGCACTTTGCAAGCACTTCAATTAAATTGATGACGATTTAGATTTTCTACCACTATTGTTAGGTAGGGGGTCATCTTGATAGAAAATGAGGAAAAGACAGACAGGCGGAAAGAATACTTACAGAGAACCTATGCGCAGGCCATGAGTTAGGAGATATATTAGACAAGGAAGATAGTGTGGAGATAGATGAACTAGATTATCCTCTAATGAGAGAAGAGTTCGAAGTAGCATTCATGAATTTAAAGAATAGGTCATGAGGCACCAGGGATACAGGCGGCAATTTTAAAAAATGCAGGATAAGAGGTGCGAGATTGTATGTTTAGGCTAGTTAGTTACACTTACGAGATCGGAAGATCCCGGAGGATTATAAACGGAACGTGGTAGTAACCATAACTAAAAAGAGAGGCGCGGATAGGTGCGAGACATTTAGACCAATTAGCTTAACTTCCCATGCCTCAAAAATCTAAATTAGAATTGTACAGAGAAGGAAGAAAAAAAGGAAGAACTATTAGGGGAAGATCAATTTAGGTTTAGAAGATATAGAGGAAAGCGGAAGGCCATTCTAGCTTTACGGGTAACAATAGAGAAAAAGATAGAGAAAGAAAAGGTTCGAAATGTGGTGTTACCGGCGAATGATGAGGATACCGTGGATAGAGAAGGTTAGCAATGAAGAGGTATTAGAAAGAATAAGAGAACAAAGGAAAATCTTTAGATAGATTGGTAGAACACCTTCTCAGATATAAAGATCTAGTCAGAGATGTGTTAGAGGCAGAAACAGAGGTGAAGAGATTATTAGATTACTGTTCGCAAATAGTTAAGGATGTGGAATGTTTTAGATTTGGGGAGAAGCGAAGATTAGCTCGGGATAGGAAGGAGTGGAGGTGCGTGTTCGAAACATGTAATTTGTTTCCTTCCAAAAAACCAAATAAATTGTCCGATTTTATTGCATGATGATGATAATTGGTTTAGATGAAATTAATTTTTTTTATTGATTCTAGACAACCGTGTTTCAAATTTACTGACTCTTTTGTATTATTTTCAACTAGTTCCTAAGCCATTACTTAAATGAAAATCACACTCCCACAATTTTTTATTTAATATTGAAGACAAACTTCTTGCCTGGATCGAGGCCTACATGCGTGACAGGACCTTCCAGACAAGGATTGGTGACCGTCTCTCCACCTCTAGGTCGGCTCCGAGTGGGGTTCCCCAGGGCTCTGTTCTTGGTCCCCTGCTTTTTAATCTTTTCTCATCCGACTTGCACGTGCGAACAACATCCCAGCACCATGCATACGCGGATGATAATAAGATTTATGGGAACCCACTGACCCACGGTGACTCCATCCAGCAGGACTTTGACAACCTGGCTCTGTGGTCCCACGATTGGATGATCCCGCTCAACCCGGGGAAGTGCACTGTCCTACACCTAGGGAAGAAGAAAAAGCCACACAGGGTATACCATCTTGGAAACCTGGCGCTGGCTCCTGTTACCTCTCAGGTAGATCTAGGCATCATCGTGTCTGATGATCTTAAATGGGACCTACAAACCACAGCCGTAGTAAAGAAAACCAACTCCTTCCTCTATCGTGTCCGCAAAGCCGTTGTGGAGGTGGACATCCCGCTCCTACGGAATGTACTGACCACCTACGTACTTCCGATGGTCGAGTACGGGTCCACTGTCTGGACTCCGTACCTCCACAAGGACATCAAGGCTCTGGAGGGTATCCTGAGACGCACTTCGAAGATACCCAGAGCACTGAAGTCCTTGCCATACGAGGAGCGCCTGAGACGGCTTGGGCTGCAAAGCCTGGCAGACAGGCACCTTTTTGCTGACCTCACGGAGACCTATCGTATCCTCCACGGTCTGTACCGTGCCTCCGACCTGCAGAAGATCTTCCTCAGGTCGACGTCGCAACGGGGTCACAATCTGAGGTTGAACGTGTCGCGTTTCAAAACGCAACACCGAGAGTACCACCTGGGCAACAGGGTTATTTCCACCTGGAATTCTCTTCCGGCGAGCATAGCCCAGGCCCCAAGCATCGATGTCTTCAAGGCGTCTTTGCACCGTCACCTGTTTGGATCTACGAGATGAGCTGCCAGGACCCCCCCTCTCAAATGATCTCCTACACAGTTTTGTTTACTATAATTTGTATTTTCTGAAATGTAGACTACTATACCAGTTTGTAACCGCTGCCTACTTCAAATAAATAAATAAATCATGGATATCTGGCAGTTTTGACAGAATACAGACCACTTCGAATTATTCTATCATGGATATTGTTGCTATGTACAGACCAAGAAGAGTACATTAGGCATGTTATACAGTTTTTGTTCCTATCTCTAGTCATCTTGGTACAGTTCATTATTATAAATGGCGAGTCAGCGTGAAGTGACCTTTATACTAACCGATTGAAAGATACGTGCGAGAATAAATAGAAATCAAGGAAATTGGAGAGTCGGCAAATTCATATTTTTATGCTGACTCTCACTACCTCTTTGCTGCCTTCCAAAAATTTACTTCTCGCAAAAAGTAGTAAATTTAACTACATGCTGATTCGTCATTTTTGATAATCGACTCTAAACATTCATACGCAGTTGATATTAAGTGAAATATAATGTTAACAGAAAATGCTGTGTGTAAATAAATGTTTTACCCCCTTACAGTGCACTGCTGGCTCTCCTTTTGAGTACATTAAAAGCGGAAACGTCCCTGGGTGGCTTGCTGCGAAAACTCGTCACGCACACGCTCTTAGAACGGTCTCGAGCTGTCGCGTCTTCGGGCTTGTCACCCCTGAGCCTTTGAACAAGTCTCATGTCTAAGCACAACATATCACTTAGCCCGCTAATAGGCGTCCTCGTCTACGATAGACGACGTTGTGCCTCCTTCAGCGACTATTCCACCCCGTCACCGACGTCGATGCTCTCATTTCATTTTACAACAACTACACAATTAATCCATCCTTACGCTTTAATAACTAATTCTTATTATGTTTTCACTTGAAACAAAGTCGATCGTGGATTGCTGTGAAATGCGGGAAATCAATCGTGAAAAGTAGCTTTAATAAAATAAAAAATTCACAAAGTTCGCATATTACGCAAGTATTTCATAAAATTTTCTTAAGATTAAATTTGATACCAATTTATAATTGTATGTAGTCGGAATTTTATGACACATTTCTCATGCATCAGTGTTTAAAATCTCTAAATCGTTCACTCTTCAATTTCGATTGATGTTAAGTATACCTAAACTAGAACAATTCGCAATATTATTAGACGCAGCACATCGACTTTATTCAATCATCGATTTTTTATCCATTATGTGTGTTTATCTCTATTTACTTGTGGCCTATCGTGAGAGGCCCCACAATCTTCGACCGTCGACTCAAATCAGTCGCTCGACAGTTTTATTTTTCATGAGATAGATCTACTATAAATGACCCAAATAGTATTTTGAATACTTATAGTGTAATAATACGTTATTTTGCCTAAAAACATTTATAAATTCGCATTTAAGTCGCACGAGTTTTAATTGGGGCAGCACAGAATTTTAATTAAAAAAGGCACTTTTGTATTCCCCTCGACTGAAACAAATTTTTTGAGATCCTCAATTAAAACCTGACGAAGCATTCTTGTTTCCCTCTTTTTGTCTTTTTTCTTTATATTTTACTAAATTATGTTCTTTCAGAAAACACCACCTTAAATTGTTGAAGTTACAAAAATAATTCGAATTCTTGCACCTTGCTGTTGTTTTTGATTTGTCATTTTGAAATTGTTTAAATTCTTTGGAGATTCATGAAGAATTGAAAACATTAGAAACTTTCAAACCCAAATTTTCAATAGCCTCAGTAACTGACTAATAAATTCTTCTTGTGATCGATATGCTGTCACTGATTGTAAAAGTTATTAATCAAGTGGTAGTGTCGACGCTTTTCAGGAAACTTGAAAAAAGAAAGCTTTTGTACTCGGCCGTTTTATGCCGAAGCCAATCTGTAAAATTCGATATTGTAGCTCTATTTTCGTTAGCAGCTAACTAAACATTCCGGAAAATTATCAAACACTGCACTTGCCATTAGGATAGCTGACGTTTAGCTATAGATATTGTACAACGGTAACCTATATATAAATTGACCAACAGATTAAAAACCTATTTCATGGTTATCACAATTACCTACAATCTCTCGTTAATAATACCGACAATTAAAGTGAGCAAAACAAATGGACATTCTTCAAAAACAGTTAGTGGTAATTATGAGCGAGTCTCTACGTCACCTACTGAGTCTTACGTGGATAATTCCCGGAATCAATGAAAGCAAAATACGTGTACAATTTTCAAAAAAGTGCTTGTGGTAATAAGGGATCAGTCTATATTAATTATCTACTGAGCTTTGCGTTGATAATGCCCACAATAAATGTGGACGAAGCTCTCGTCCGTCCTTAAAAAANTAATATTTCGATTTTATTCTAATTTTTTATCGACTTCTTTTACATTTCTTTTAGCGGTAGGGACTGTAAGTCGTAGAAAAATTAAGTATGAATTTAACCTTTCTTAAAGTATAGATTTCTATTCAAAATCTAACGTGTACCAGTTCCAGAGATTATTTTAACTTCTCAGATGAAGAAACAATCAACTTAATCTCTTTAAAATATATTTAATAATTATTATAGATAATCTAGGGAAAGCATTGTAAAAGTTAATGGAATAGTGATTCTAAATCTTTAGTTCTCTTCCATAGGTAATTTATTTTAAGTGAGACACCCTTATGGAAACAATAAAGGGAACTGTATTCCGTAAAAAATGGTTATTTTAATGAATTTCAAATCCGTATTTTTCCGAATAAATTTTATCTTAAAATAAACAATTAAAAAGTCATTTGACGATAGAATTACGGGCTATAAACCTTACTGGACCCAGAACGACAATTCGTGAATCGCAGTAATTTTTGAGGTAAAAAGAATGGTAGGTATATCGATTTACGGCACACACGTGTACGTGAATTAGTAATTCATTATAATCTAGATCCCATTTGCCACACCTGCCCATCCTCGATTAATTACAACATGAGGGTACTTGTATGGAAATTCTAGCACGTTTAGTTTAGAACACGATCTAGGAAAACACAGACTAATGACCTTTCTGAAAGAACTACTAATTAAAGTTGACTTTTTTTATTTCAGTAGGTACTGCAAGTACTAATTCATTCATTCACAAATTCATAGTTGAATGCTGTGTAATGCAAAAGGAGATAAATTACAGGGTGTTTCAAAAGGGATAGCCTTTATTATATGCTTGCCTTTTTGAATTAATTTTTGCAGTAAAATTTAAACTGAAATAAATAAAACTACATTGAGGTAAATTTATAATATTAGGAAGGAAGAACAATCAGCAGGATCAAAAACAGACACATTGGCAATTAAAGCATTTAGTAAGCATTTAATTATTGGGTGACCAAAAAATCTGCTCTCATTATTTAAACGATCTTGTTGGTTACGATCTGCTAACATGATCTCATAAGCTAACAAAACAGTGATTTTTGAAAAAATGTATAAGATTTAATTTCTCATTATTGCACTTAATTATCCCTTATATAGTCTTTATAGTTTTTGTTACATAAGCATGTTCTTGACCCTCTTGTATGCCAGGGTATTGTCCAAATCGCAAGATCTTATTTACTGAAAATACGATAAGAACATTTCATTAGTAACTGGTCTGTTTCGATAGCATTTAATTACTAGATACATAAAAATCTACATTCATCTTCGCTAACGTTTTGCTAACCAGATCTTTGAATCTAGCCCAACTGTGATTTTTGAAAAAATGCTCCAAACATTTACTTTCTCATTATAACACTTAATTATTCTTGACTTAGTCTTAAAACAATACATGACTTAAGCAGTAGCTTTTCTTTCGTATACCTGTTTTTGGTTTGCCTGGTATGTCAGCGTATTGTCCAATTGGAGAGGTTTAGTAGTTTGTAATGTGATTTTGTATAGTAAAATACTGAAAAGTAGGTATCATAATTCATTTTTAACTTCCATAGAGTATTTGGTAAAATATAACAAATTCTGTATGGCCTTTCATGGGGTCCAATTACATTTACCCAACTCCTGACTTAATAACGTTGACCGCGAAAGCCGTTGGACATAGATAANGTGTTTATAGTCATAAGGAGTGAGTCTCTATTAATTACCTATTAAGTATTAAGTCGGTAATGCCCACAATAAATGTGGGCGAAGCTCTCGTGTATCCTTCAAAAAGTGTTTGTGGTAATTAGGGGCGAATCTGTGTTAGTCATCTACTGAGTCTCCCCGACATTGTTATCTCCATTGCTAATAGGCTCGCGTTGATAATGCCCACAATCAATATGAGCAAAACACTTGCCCATATTTCAAAAAAGTGTTTGTAACGATTAGAGGCAAGTCTCTTTAGTTATTTAATGATTCTTGCGTTGATAATGCTCACAATCAATGTGAGAGAAACACGTGTATATTCTTCGAAAAAGTGTTTATAGTCATAAGGAGTGAGTCTCTATTAATTATCTACTGAGTGTTAAGTCGGTACTGCCCACAATAAATGTGGGCGAAGCCCTCGTGCATCCTTCAAAAAAGTGTTTGAACGTGTCGCGTTTCAAAACGCAACACCGAGAGTACCACCTGGGCAACAGGGTTATCTCCACATGGAATTCTCTTCCGGCGAGCATAGCCCAGGCCCCGAGCATCGATGTCTTCAAGGTGTCTTTGCACCGTCACCTGTTTGGATCTACGAGATGAGCTGCCAGGACCCCCCCCTCTCAAATGATCTCCTACACAGTTTTGTTTACTATAATTTGTATTTTCTGAAATGTAGACTACTATACCAGTTTGAAACTGCTGCCTACCTCAAATAAATAAATATAGTACTTTTTAAAATACATTTTCTTTGTGGTATAAACATGATCAATAGATGTTCACATGCTTACAGTCACTGACATCGCTTACAGTCAATGACATCACGTGACCACATAAAAACATTCGACCACCACATGATGAACATCGATGACGTTACGTCAAACGGTTACCTACTCCTCTGTGCCAGAATCCGTTATCTTATACTAAAGAAGTAATATAATTAATAATTATAATATAAACAATAGAATATTAAATTCTACTTCCACGATAACTGCTACTTGTCTTCCACGCAAACGTCAAAAAAAATACTTAGAATTGCTCAGAGGAAATCCCTGTTTACAAACTTTCTATTAAATGTATTCCTAAACCACCTTCAGCCGAGGCTCATTTGGCAGAAACACCTTTGGATTTTTTTCTCTTTTTTGGTATGATAGTGTTATCAACAACATTGTGACACAGTCAGATATATACTCACAACAGAAAAGTAACAATCTGAATATTACCAAAGAAGAGATATATACAATACTTAGGGGAATGTTGTTGTTAGGCTATTCAAAATGTCCAAACAAACGAATGTACTTGTCGAGTTCTGAAAACTGCTGTTGTATAACAGCATGAGACTAAATAGGTTTGAGTATTACGGCATTTACACTTCAATGACAATTNAAATTTTCTTAAGATTAAATTTGATACCAATTTATAATTGTATGTAGTCGGAATTTTATGACACATTTCTCATGCATCAGTGTTTAAAATCTCTAAATCGTTCACTCTTCAATTTCGATTGATGTTAAGTATACCTAAACTAGAACAATTCGCAATATTATTAGACGCAGCACATCGACTTTATTCAATCATCGATTTTTTATCCATTATGTGTGTTTATCTCTATTTACTTGTGGCCTATCGTGAGAGGCCCCACAATCTTCGACCGTCGACTCAAATCAGTCGCTCGACAGTTTTATTTTTCATGAGATAGATCTACTATAAATGACCCAAATAGTATTTTGAATACTTATAGTGTAATAATACGTTATTTTGCCTAAAAACATTTATAAATTCGCATTTAAGTCGCACGAGTTTTAATTGGGGCAGCACAGAATTTTAATTAAAAAAGGCACTTTTGTATTCCCCTCG